GAAGCTTTAAAAATTTCTTTTGAAACTAACTTCAAAAAAAAGGGGCAAGTATAATTATTATCAAGAGAAACAAGTTAAATCTTAGAAAAAGAAAAGAAAAAAAGAGTATCTAACTCTAATTTAAAAAAAAGTCTGGATTATAGAAAGTGTGAAAAATTATAGCCGTCACATATGAGTTTGCCTGTTGTTTCAAAATGCTAAAACTGTCTTGAGCCTACATTTAAAGGAAGAATCACAAATGAAAAGTTGAGCAGGAGGTATCTAGCCAAAAGTTGTTGGAGAGAAAATTATTCTTAAAGAGGACAATGAACCCCAAACTTGCAGACACAGTGACAGGGGCTCACGGCCGAGTTGGAGGCTGATCTTCATGCAGCAGCGTCAGTGCAGGAACAGAGACAGGCACGGGGGCGAAGGGAGCCCTGGAAATGGGGGCAGCTGGGGAGGCAGAGGGGTCAGGGCAGAGTCCACAGCATAATCGGTATCTGTGCTGAGTGTTGGCAGCTGAGCTAAAGCTACTCTGCCTTAAAGGGATGGGAACGGATATTCCAGATAAAGGAAAAGAGATGTGCAAAAGCGCAGCCAGAATTAAAACAGAGTGTGGTCCAAGAGATACAGATTGGCTGGCTGGTGACAAGAGTGTAGGTTTGGGAAAGGCAACGGTGAGGCTCTCAGTCTGCAGAGGGACTTATAAGTGGAGAGAAGCAGCTTAGTTTCTATATCTATAAAGCGTAGACTACCTTCAAAGGACCTGAAGCAAGACAGTGGTATGATGAACGGTGATTTAGCGGCAGGAGGGAAGACAGGAGAGAATTCAGTTTAACGAACTATTACTAAGCTTCAGGGTGGGAGTGGGCCCGGGTCTGGGAAATCAAAGTGGGGTATCACCCTTGCAGGGTCCCGTGCCCTTCCGTGCAGCTGTGGCAGGGGACCATAGCAGCAGGCTATGGGGACGGGCAGGTGCGTCTGTACGAAGCCAGTACAGGAACTCTGCACGTCCAGATCAACGCGCACGCCTGGGCCGTCTGTGCCCTGGATCTGGCTCCCGACGTGGGCAAGGTCAGTCTCCTCCATCCCTCTATAACCTTGTTCCTGGTGCTGGAATGTTCAGAGGAAGTCCACATGCTTATCTCTGCCACTCAGCGTAGCCCCCTCTCCGGGCGCCTGGGTTGGGTGCAGCCTGTAACAGTCACCTGTCAGCGTGTTCCGACTCCCACTGGTCCTCCCTGTGTTTTCTTTTTTTTTTTTATTAGCTACTCTCTGCGGCTGAAGACACCTTTGTACACATCTGGAAGCTGAGCAGAAGCCCAGAGAGTGGCTACATTGAGGTGTGTGTTGTAAGAGGAGTGGAGTGCGGGCCCAAGCATGAGGCCGCAGGCCCTGAGCAGCCCTCCTCTCCCCTAGGTGGAACACTGTCATGGTGAGTGTGTGCCGGACACCCAGGTGTGTGGTGCCCGATTCTGTGACCCCTCGGGCAGCTCCTTTGCTGTGACTGGCTATGACCTCGCTGAGATCCTGAGATTCAGCAGCATGTGAGAGAGAAGCAGCCCTCCTTCCCCCTGTGGTATTATTTAT